GTTTATACTCTCTACATACCTTTCTTTGAAGTTCTTTGCACTGTTACTGGTGGAGTCCAACATTCCTGCCTTGTATTCTAACAACCTGTGTATGCGGAAACGCACGCGTTAAAGGCTGCAACCTGTACGAAGCCAGTTACAATCGCCCAATATCACATGGCTTGCAGGAGGAGGAAGAGGAGGGGAGCACCTATGTTTGAGCTGTGGGCGTTATTGCCACCTTTTATCCGTGGCTGAGTGCACGTGATTGCCATTCTTCTGGCTAACCTGTGATGGAAAATGCGAACCTCGACATCTTGGAGTAATGTATGGCTCCACCACTGCAGCACGTTGTATTGACTAAATGGTGAGGATGAGTGGCTCAGCTGCCACACCCCTTCATAGAAAGACGAGGCTGGTTATGTTTGTACACTGATCACATGTTGTTGTTATTATTAGTATAGCAGGGAATCTGGTGATGTCTCCAAATGTCTCCTCGTGTTTGGCGTGGGACTGAGCTGGGAGATCACCTGTGTGTGTATGCTAAGTTTGTGTGTGAGGAAGGATCAGTGCAGGCCATCGCTGCTAGTATTAGAATGAATGGACCTATCAGCAGCCTGGGAATTTCAGTGAGCCTGGTGTGTAGACTGTGACAGTTCTCATGAGATTGCTGGCCAGGTATGGAGGAAGAGTTGCCTGTAATGCAAAAGTACTCTCCTGAACACCCCCCTGTGGTAGGTCTGCAGCACTTGAAAGGATTCCCCCCTCCTCTTTCATGTCTATGAGTACTTGTTGAAAGCAAAATGAAAAATTGCAGGCCTTTATTTTGTAACGCTCATTAACGTGCCTGGTGATTTAAGCTGGAGTTGTTGTGGAAGTATAGAGATTACAGGGGCAGACGGACCTCAGCGTGAGGCAGTGTTAACAGCACTGAGGGTATCAAGGGGCTTCCATGAGAATGTTTGGTATTTAGCTGTAGTTGTCCTGCTCCAGCTGGGGTCAACATCTTTGAGCTTTTCCCCCCACTTAGGTTCACATTTCACCCCAGTTTGCCCTGACAACAAGAACCCGATATCCACTTACAACATGTGGAACAACTGCTTCCAATCCCTCAACTTATATTTTTGTTCAGTTTTAACCTGAGTGGCCCCTGTAAAGTAAAACACCTAAACACTGTGTAGAGTTTCCTTTATTTGTCTCGCTCCCACATAGTTTGCTGGGTCCCATTTCCCAAATGGCTTAAATCAGTGGTTTAAATCCATCATTTAAATCATGGAGCACATATAGCTTCATTTGACCTTAAGTGGGTTGAACTGGTAAAACATAATAACACACATAACTGATTTTTTTTTACATTATTTCCCAGTTCTAAAGCCGTTAAGCAGTTCAGTTGGTTATTAAAAAGAAACCTGCTGGCACAGCTCCTCACTTTAGTGGCGTGGCAGGCCGTGGGTGATGTGAATGTCAGTAAGAAGGCTGACAAACATTGATGATTCAGAACTGTGGCCTGGATAAAATTAGCAGTTCAGACATCGGATACATCCTGGGAAAATTCGAGCAGCCTTCTCTTTGCTCTAAAGGATGGAAACATAACAAATCATTCGGTGACTATTTCAGCATCAACAACG